TACCAGAAAGGAGAGACCTGTATGAATAGAGAGAAGCCTGAGCTCTTCAAAGGGTTTCCTTGAATTTTCAGCAGAGTTCTGATCAGTCCATGTGTTTGAGGAAACTACCCAAGGCTAGAGAAAATATTATCTAAAAGAATTAGAGGAAGTAGTGTCTCATACTTACACAGGGCTGAGAGTAGTGGCCTGTGCCCCTAGCCAGACTGGGAAAACTCATAATTCACAGGGCTGTATGTAGGGTAGTCAGGAGAGTCTTGCCTCATTAGTGAAGATTAATTAGCCATAGGCTTAGTTCTGCTCTAAAACTACCTAACACATCATAAAAGCAAGATCCAAGAGGATCAAGCTGTTTCTTTATAACTTAGCTGCATACCAGAATAAATGGCCAAGAAGATCTACAGGAATACAAAAATATCCAGTATTCAACAAAGTCAAGATGATTATGTCAGGCATACGTAATTACCAGGTACACAAAGAAGCAGAATGAGGAAACCAATCAGTTGAAACTGACACAGAATTAGAGAATGACGTTAAAGCAGTATTGTAACTGTATTCATGTATTCAGAAGTTAAGTAGAAACATGGAATATGCACAGAAGAGTCAAACTGAACTTCTAGAGTTGAAAACCACAATGTCTGAGAGGAAAAACACATAGATAGTATTAATGTCAAATTAGAAATTGCAGAAGAAAACATTAATTAACTTCAAGGGATAGGAGGATATCCTATCCAAAGGGATATCTAAAATTAAAAAGAGAGGTGAAAGCCCTTGCTGGGTGGCTCAGCTGTTTGAAGTATCATCCCATACACCAAAATGTTACGGTTCAGTCCATGATCGGAGTGAGTGTGGAAGGCAACTAATTGATGTTCCTCCTTCCTCACTTACCCTGAAATAAATAAATATATTATTGGATAAGGATTTTCAAAAAGGTGAAAGAATATACACATGTGTGTACATGCATGGAAAAGAAGACATCACTGAGCTATAGCAGGGTCCCCAACCCCCTGGCCACAGACCACTACCAGTCTGTAACCTGTTAGGAACAGGGCCGCACAGCAGGAGGTGAGCAGAGGGCAGGGAAACTTCACCTGTATTTAGTTGCTCCCATTGCTCACATTACTGCCTGAGCTCTGCGTCCTGTCAGATCAGGTGCAGCATTAGATTCTCATAGGAGTGCCAGCCCTACTGTGAACTGCACATGAGAGAGATCTAGGTTGTGCGCTCCTAATGAGACTCTAGTGCCTGATCTGAGGTGGAGCTGAGGCAGTGATGCCAGCACTGGGGCGCGGCTGCAAATAGCAGAGAGGTTTGACTGCACAGACCATAATAAATCAGTTACTTACAAACTCTCAAAACCCTATCAGTGAGTAGCAAGTGACAATTAAGCTGCATCTGGTGGCAGGCTATAACAAAGCCTTTCCCTACCCACCCCACATGCCCCCCCGCCATGGAAAAATGTCTTCCACAAAACTGGTCCATGGTGCCCAAAAGGTTGGGGACCACTGAGCTATGGGACAACTTTATAAGAAGCCTCATACATGGACAATTGGAGGTACCTGAAGGAGAGAGAGTGTGGAAGAGAGATAATTTACTGAAAGAAATAAGGGCTAAAAACTTTCCATAATTATTGAAAACTCTAAACCCACTGATCCTAGAAACTCAATCCTCAACACAAAAGCATGAAGAAAACTACACCATGGTATATTATAACCAAACTACTCAATACCAGTTGTGAAGAGAAAAGTCTTAAAAACGACCAGAGAAAACAGACATATTACAGCAGAACAAAGATAAAGGTGATAACAGATTTCTCAATGGCAACCTAGAATACAAGCCAGAAGATAACAGAAAAACATTTGTAAAGTACTCAAAGAAAGAAACTGTTAACTTTGAATTCTGTACCTGGCAAAAATATATGTTTAAAACAATGACAAAGATGCACTTCAGGCATACAAAAACTGAAAGAATTCATCATCACTGCCATATCTGCACTACACGCAATGTTAAAGGGTGCCCTTCAGACAGAAGTAAAATAATGCCCTTGGTTACTTGGAAGCAAATCTCAGAAAATTATTTCATTTATAAATACTTCAGTAAGTATCTCTAAAAGATAAAGACTCAAACTTAAACCAGAGTAGTTATAGTACTTTAAAAAGTTAACAGTTCCTTAATATCAAGCCATCTAATCACTATCCATCAGTTTTTTTACTTCAGACGTTAGCAGTGTTTGATGGACATGTCTAGATACATTCATTACTTAATCATTAAATGACCATTGCAGTAATTATTCTGTCATTCCTTCTACTTTTTTTATTGGCTGATAACTCAGTCTAAAGAAGAGCTTTTCCTCAATAAGTTTTTGGTTTTCCTGAATTACTGATCAAGGAGGAAAGAGAAATACTCGAGTCTTTCCCTTTGTTTTCAAAATAAAGAGTTGGTTCCTTAGCATCTTCCAAAGCAACCATTGGAATGTGAGGGTGTTTTAATGTTACTAGGACTTTAAAGTATTTAGCATATTTCAGTTTATTTCAGGTATTACTCTCTTCTGTCTTAAAAAAAAAACAAACTTGTGGCTGTGTAGGTGACAATTAATAAAGCATACAATATGATGTTTTGATATATTTTGTGAAACTACCACTATAAACTACAATTGGTTTACCCATTCATCACCTGTTGATAGTATTATGGATTGTTTCTGGGTTTTGGTGATTGCAAATAAAGCTGCTGTGAACATTCATAGGTAGCTCCTATGGATACATTTTTTTTCCCCTCTGGGATAAATATCTAGGAACAGAATACAATGGCTGGGTTGTTTAGTAGTTGTATAGGTAGGATCAACTATGTGCCAACATAGGCTGAACTATTTGACCTTCCCATTAACAATGAGTGGAGTTTCAGTTCCACCACATCTTTGTCAACATTTAGTATGATCAGTGTTTTTCATTTTACTAATGTGTGTGTAATAATATGCTAGTATCATTTTAATTTGCATTTTTCTAATGACTAAAGTTGCATCTTTTCAAGGCTTATATGCCACCTATAAATTGTGAAGTCTGTTTAAATATATTTCTTTTTTTAAAATATTTTATTTATTTTCAGAGAGAGGGGAAGGGAGGGAGAAAGAGAGGGAGAGAAACATCAATGTGTGATTGCCTCTCACTCCGTGCTACTGGGAACATGGCATGCAACTCAGGCATGTGCCCTGACTGGGAATCAAACTGGTGACCCTTTGGTTTGCAGGCTGGCACTCAATCCACTGAGCCACACCAGCCAGGACTGTTTAAATATATTTCTTGTCCCACAAGCATATATTTTAAGTTTTGTACAGATTTTCTCAGCCTTTTTCTCTCTTTTATTTTAGAGCTTTTCCATGGCAATGTCCATAAATCCACTGATCTTTTTTTCTATGGTATCTAAAATGCTGTTAATCCCACCCAGCATATTTTTCATCTGAAAAATTTTATCTTTTATCTCTAGGTGTTTGATTTGCTTTCTTCTTTTTCATGTTTTTGAGCTCTCCTTGTCTTGGTTATACTGTACTTTTTAAATTTGTGGTTATATTTATAACAAGTATTTTAATGTCCTTGTTCAGTTTGCCATCTTTGTCATTTCTAGGTGATTTAATTGATGTGATTGTTTTTTCTCTTCCTCATGGGTGGTCTTTTTCTACTTTCGCCTGCTTGGTAGTTATTAATTGACAAGCATTGTGAATTTTACCTCATTTGGTGTTGGAGTTTTTTATATATTTTTAATAAGTATAATTTTGTCTTCTTTTAATGTTTATAATTCTGACATTGTCATTGGATGTAGTTAAACTTCTTGGAACCAGTTTGCTTTTATGTTTCATTGGGCTAGACCAGAAGAGCCTCTAATCTAGGGCTAATTTAGCATCACTAATGAGTTACTGCCCTTCTGAGTATTCTACTCAATGACCCATATATTAGAAGTTTTTTTCTCTTATAGCCAGTTAAAACAAACTATTAGTTGATCTCTGTGACCTCCAAAATTGTTCTGTATGCTCCTCGAAAGTGGTTCCTTTTCCATTTTTGGATCTCTTCCTCACACAGCTGCAATGATAAGTACTAAGTGAGGAGGACCTTCTGCAGATTTTTGGAGTTCTCTCTAGGTTGATTTCTCCTCTTAGTACCCTGTGTTGTGGAGTCTAGGTGTCTTGGCCTCCAGGCTCTGTTATGGTTCACCCTCCTTGTGCTGTAGCCCAGAAGTTCTCTTCAGGCCGTAAACTGAAGCAATCGTAGGACTAATGCTTCTTTTCCCAAGGATCATTGCCTGTACTACCTGTTGTCCAGTGACTGAAACCCGTTATTTTATGGATTTTTGTCTGTTATCTTAGTCAGTTAGGATGAGAGGGTAAAGTATTACTCTATTATGGCTTGATGAGTAAGTGTATAGGATTCTTAAGGATGTAATGGAAGCCATCTTCATGGACTGCCTTTGGAGAGAACTGTTCTCCTTTGTCTACACAGATAAATGGGTGCTTTAAAGGTGGTGTTCAAGCAGAAGTCATTTGTCACCAATGGTTGCTGGACAAGTTGGGAAAGTCAAGAAGCCTTTCAGTATACTATCTTTGAGAGTTAGGAGGGAAGTATTAAGTCATCTTGATACCATTTTTATCCTTATTTCTCCTGGTGTATAGTGAGACTGTCCTATCACCTACTTCACATAAAGGGAAGAGGAAAATGGCCAAGCATGCCCCAACTCCATTTTCCAGTCTTACCTTTTTTATATGTCATGCAGTGTGAGGCCTCTCGGTAAGTTTTACCTCATCAAGTGATAGTTAATTGCAGTAGATTATAAGGATTGTGGAGAATTTTGAAATAGTTCCTCATCAGGAAAGGTTGAAGGTGGCACAAACTTTGGAATTTTTAAAACAATTTTCAAGAAGCTCCATCCTGACTACCTTTTAAGTGGGTTGATTAGTATTTGGCTTTCAAACTCCCTTGTATTAGAATTACTTAAGTAACAGTCTTTTATTTTTTCAGTTATTCAAGCGAAGAAATGTTGCTACAGCAGAAGAAGAAACAGAAGAAGAAGTGATGTCAGATGGAGGCTTCCATGAAGCTCAGATTAATAACATGGAAATGGCACCAGTAAGAAAGATAATGAAACTCTTTAGTGTTTCTCTGATGAAAATATGATGTTATATCTCTTTTTCTTTTTGAAAAAGCATGATATGGCTACCAAAAGCAGTTGGCATTTCATTTTTAAAAAGAAGCCATCTACTTAATCTCATGATTTACTAAATGTTTATTATATTTTAAATAACATGCTGTTAAATAGGGTTAACTAAATTATGAAGATTAATCTAGATATTAGAACTTACAAAGATAATTACAATAAAACTATTCCTTAAAAGTTGAATAACAAGGGATATGTTAAAGGAAATCCCAATTGGATATTTATTTCAGTTACAAAATTGGATATGCTTATATGATTCTCAAAATTGGTTCCATAGCAAGGGTATTGGAATTCTTTATTATCCATTTTGTAACTGTCTTGAGGTTACAAAAACAGATAAAAATTGTGCTTTATATAGATCACACCTCTCTATATTTTCAGTTTACTAAAATGAATTTGATAGTATTTTAATAGAACATGTATATACATGGTTTTCAAAAAAAGAAAACCTCTCATTTACTTCAGTCACTCATTGTCTTTCTCTAGTGACAAGCACTGTTATTAGATTCTTATTCTTTTGAGAAAATAAATTTCCTCCACCTCCTTTTTTTTATGGCAGCATATTATATACCATTGTAGATTTTTCCTTTTTTACACTTCATAGGTTTGCAGTTTTTATAGACCAGTTTTCTTTTGGAATCAGGGGAGTTTAAAACATTTGGAATTGATATAGACATTGCAGTCACTACTATTCTTTTGTGGTGAATTCTTCCAGGCCTTTTAGAAAGTCAAGCTGTTCTTCTTTTTTACTGCATGTTAGATGAATACGAAGTATTTTGTGGACTGTATTGGGGTTCTACAGATGAAACAATCAATAGGAGAAAGAATGATTGATTGATTGATTGATCGACTTTAAGCACATGCAGTTGTTAGAGTTGATAAGTCCAAAATCCATAGGGCAAGCCATCAGGCTAGCAATTCAGGTAATAATTGTTGTAGTTTTTAGGCTGAATTTCTTCTTTAGGATATCTCAGTCTTGGCTTAACTGATTGAATGAGGCCCACCCACATTTTGGAGGGTAATCTACTTTCCTCAAAGTGTACTGATTTAAAATGTTAAATCACATATAAAAAATACTTTCACAGCAACATCTACACTGGTGTTTGTCCAAACAGCTGGATAGCATAACGTAAGTTGACACATAATATTAATCATCCTAGTCTACTCTTTGTCAGTTTGGCATCCACATATACAACTCCTTAAACTAAACTGAGACTCAGAGACAGGAACAAAGTTGTACCTCCACATAATATAACTATGCCACATGCAACTTAAATGCGCTAACCTTTTCCCCAGAAGAGGCTGTAAAGTTCTTGGATGTTGGATGTTGGATGTTGTAAAGTTCTCACCCTGATGTCCTATTACCTGAATACTATGATGTAAAGTTAATGATACTTAAACACTCTGAATGTAAAGTCAGTACATTTTGTTATGTGATAAGGGGATATGAGAGAGAAGAAAACATATACACACACACATACATAGAGACATAGATAGACACACACTCATAATATATGCATAATAGAATTATATAGATACCTTTGTTTGTTCAGGAATCAGTCTTTTAAGTTTCAGAGCAGTTAACTTTTCTGACCCTTAAGAGCAGGATGCTTCATTCTCCCCGTGGGGATTCTTAAGTGTTAGATACTGCTTACCAACCATCTGGTGCTTTCAACTCAATGCAGCTTTCTTCACAGTTCATCTTGTTGACTGTAACCCTTGATGAAATGATACAGACTTGACTTCATTGACAAATAATCCTGAAAAGAGAGTTAACTATTAATACTGGGGATGGGTTATAGCGGAAAATGGAAAAGTTCGAATAAAGCAAGAAAATAGTGAGAAACCAAAACATTTTAATAAAGAAAATAGAAATTTTAAATAAATTTAAGGGTCGGCTGTTGGATTTAGCAGTGGCTGGAACCTGTGATTTGTGTAAGACTGTTCTATACTCATTCAGTAAATATATGTTGTGCATCTACTGTACAGCTCTCAGAGACAAAGTGGTAAGATAGACAGGATCTTTGGCTTTCAAGGAGCTTATAGTATACTAGGGGAACCTGGGAAGTAACTAAGAAAAATATAATTACCTGATCTCCTGTGTAGGAGAGACTGGGAGTAGCCAGCTCCCCTTCCCTCTTTGAACTGGGCTTACCCACTCCACCCCTTTGGCTACCACCCCTCCACTGCATTTTCCATGTAAATGTTTTCATTTTATTGTTTCTTTTAATAAAGTGAAGAAGATAAAAAGTGTGTGTGTGTGTGTGTGTGTGTGTGTGTGTGTGTGTGTGTGTGGCTGATAGTGAAAAGGGATAGACCCAGGATTAAAATAGAGGGATGGGATAGAAATGGAATGGACCCTTTAGATTTGGAAATCATGAAAAGCTGCCTTTTAGAATTTAACATTTAATCTGAATGACAAGGAATAGCTAACCCTTTGATGAGCAAGGAGAGAAAGAATAAGAAACACTTTGTCTTAGTATTTACTACTACTACTTTATTAATGTTGTGAACTTTTAAAAAAGTTCCTTACCCAAGGATGTGATTATTAATTTGAGAGAGAGAAGGAGAATGAATCATTGATGTGAGAGAAAACGTTGATCAGTTGTGTCCTGTATACACCTTGACTGGAGCAAACATATAATGTTGGCATGTGCCCTGACCAGGGAACGAACCTGCAACCTTTTGGTGAACAGAATGATGCTCCAACCAACTGAGCCACCCGGTCAGGGCTGTTGTGAGCTTTTTAAATGATAGGCAGAATTTAGCTTCATCACATTATTAATTATGTCATATATTTCTACATGTAGAGGTTGCCCTCTCTTTGTGTAACTTTTCTAGATAAATATGATTAACTTAATAACATGGCCACAATTTTTACTGTCTTTGTTTTCCTTTGAATTAAAGTTAAAATTTCCTTTATTTACTTTTTGTTTGTGATCCCAGGGTGGTGTTATTACTTCTGACATGATTGAAATGATATTTTCTAATAGCCCAGAGCAACAGCTTTCGGCAACACAGAAATTCAGAAAACTGCTTTCAAAAGGTGAGTTCTGAATGTTATGTTTAATATGTATTCGCAACGTATTACTTTTTCATAGTCTGTTGTTCGTAACATAGGTAACTTGCTTTAGAGTTTGTCTGTCAACAGAATATAAGGACACATATACATACACAGTTGGGAGCCATAGCTAACGTTCAGATTTCCTTACATATTTGCATGATCTTACCAGTATCAGAAAGCAGCAGCATTTTTATTTCTGAGCTATCTTATAAAAGACCTTCAAGTGATAAGAAGAGTAGGCAGTGTTTTCTGTTCATTCATATTGAGAAACCCCACTCTTTTTTAAGAGAAAACTTTAAAAACATCACTTGAAAGGGCAGTGATTGTTGATTTTAACGTTAGTAGTTTATCACTGAAATTAACTATGGATTTATTGGTGGGCAGGGTCACTACCTTTTGTATAATTAGTGTAGAATGGAATAGAATACTATTCTCATCTAAGAAAGTAAAAAGAACTCTGGAACTCTGAACCATATTACAATGGCAATAGTAAATACTTAGAACTCACCCACCAATAGTAAGTTACAATTGTTGGGAGTTATTAGTGGTAAGTTAACATTCTCCTTGAGGTTAACAGGAATGAAAATCTACCACCATAACAAAAAAAAAATTCTGTTTTTTTGCATGACAAATTGTTGAATGTTTGAAGGCCATTATTATGTACACTTTCCCCACTCCCCTAAAGATGTCTCTTTTCAGCCTGCTGAGCCTAATGGGTTTCACACATAATGTGACTTTTTAAGGCCTTTCACCACTCTTCTACTTCCCCGCATGTATTAGAATTTGCCAGCCTCTTTTCTTAGAAATATAACTAGAATGCATGTACTGCCAATGTGTTATTGCTCTGTCAGTGGTGAGAATTGCCTTTCTGAGACTCTATATGCCAGTAATATATTCCAAGATAGCATCAGTTATTTCAGTAGTAATGGCATAGTAATGTTTTGTTGTATTTGCAGCAATCTAAACTCTCTTAACACTTTTCTTCATGAATTGTTTTTAAGTTTTGTCTCTGAAGTGGTATGGATTTTTTTTTAATTTTTAAAAATTTAGTTGCTGAGTTTTGCTTTACCCCTGTTGTTTTATTGCCAACTTTGGCTTATTATTGGTCTTTCTGTATGTTGTTTCTGTAATCCAGCATATTAACTACTTAATCTTTATTATAATATCAAATTTATTTGTTGTGTCTATCTGAATGGTTGGTAAAAAGGTTGAACTAGGCAAAGACCATGTCATTAGAACTCTCTCCAAAATAACATTGAATTACCTTTTTCAGTAAAGCTATTGACTTGGTTCAGAATTCCTAGCCATACTATGTAGTCCAGCTGCCATTTTTCATGCATTGCTACATGAATGTCATCAAAAATTTTGTCAGTTCTCTTGCTGAAATTGTTATGCTGATTGGTTAGGTCATTAACTATTTATTCACCCAACAAATTTCTACTGACTGACTTCATTTATAAGATACTCTATTATTATAAATGAAAACAAGATTAATTTGGCAAGTTATCCTTGGTGAGTTCTTGCTCTGGCTTCTACCTAACACTATGGCTATGACAATAAGTCCTGCAAACACACTCAAAATCTTCTAGTCCAGATTCTTTCTTTTTTTTTTTCTTTTTCTATTTTTAAAATTTTTTTTATTTTTAATAAGAGTTTGAGCTAAACTGACAACATGTGTTGGGAAGCAAGATCGCAAATGCTCCCCTAATCCAGTTTCTACAGACAGTTTATGCTAAACAAAAAAGATGAACAATAAACCCATACACAGACAAAGGGCTAGAAGGAATTGTACCAAAATAATAACAGTGGTTGTCTTTGGATGGTTTTCTTGCTATTTCCTAAAATAGGAGAGGTAGTAATTTTAATTTTTAGGAGTTCTGCCCATCATTTCCATGTTAAGGCCTACCTTATTGTGAAATCTTTCAAGCTACCACAGTGTCAAAGTGACCAAATTCAACTTGACATTTTTTTCCTTTTTTTAGATTTCTAATGTTAAAGAGATGCTAAAATGGAGGGAGGGATATTATGAAGTAATTTTGAGCTTTAAAGTCTTTGTATTGAAATCAAAGGATTGTTTTTCTTCTTTTTATTTTATGGGGACACAGAACCTAATCCTCCCATTGATGAAGTCATCAGCACACCAGGAGTAGTGGCCAGGTTTGTGGAGTTCCTCAAACGAAAAGAGAATTGTACACTGCAGGTGCGAACCTTTTCTTGTCTCATATCTTAACTCTCTTGGCAAACTTACATTTTTTTACTTATTTTTAATCTGTTTAAGGGGTTAATTTTTTATAATGGTGTTCCCAACAACCACATGGCAAGTTTCTTTGATGGTTTTATTAACATCCAGGCCCTTGGTTTTATTTTTTAGAATTTGTCATTTTTAGTCATGTAAAAGATTATTTTATGATTGTTGATAATACTTACTTAATAGGGAATTATTGCAGTAGAGGAGCCATTATAGATAGGACCTAAGTGTGGACTATGTAAAGTTTGGTTTTGAGGGATTTTTAGGTTATACTTGTTAGCTTTCTCAAAGCTTTGTAGCATAGGCTAGATCAGAGATTCACTAATCCCCATACCTGGTCTGAATTAATCCTCCTGTTATCTCAAAAGCACTAACAAGGTGATAGTCTTGTCAGGAATCTGTGTGCTTTCTGCTCTGTTAATTTAGTCTATCAATACTGTATTATATAAGGGTTTCAAGAGGAAATTCTACAACTTCTGGATTAGATAAATTTCACAGTAAAAAGAACAACTTTCAACTGACTCTTGTCCTGGGAGTTATTTAGAAATTTTAAAATAGTATTTTAAAATAGTTGGACTTATGGTAAATTGGTGATTTTTTCAGCAGCTAGACTTCTTGGAGTAACCAACTGACTTAGTTTCTCTATTTTTTAACACATACCCATGACACCTAAGGTCTCACTTGTAGGATCTAATCTGAAGGGTTTGGGAAACTATAAAAATTGGTTAGAGACCAAGTAGATCACAAAACGGGGTTATTTTTCCAAGTAAATATCTGCCAATAACAAGTTAATCATAAAGATAACTTCCACCCCCTTGTTTGCTTTTGCCTTACTCTTAAGACTGTAGGGATTGGAGCAATTTTGACAACCCTATCCCCAGGTTCCTTACTATCCAGAGTATTGTAGATAATTTGTAAGACTTGATGCTTTGTCTTGATATTTTCTCTCCTTTCCTCCCACCCCATCTTTCTACTCTTTTACTTTCTTTGTTGCGGTGATGAGTTTCTTCCAGAGGAAAAACAAGAAATCCAGAAAAGGTAGAGTATTTCAGTATGCCATCAGTTTTTCTCCTCCAGTTTGACAGTTACTAATTCCTAAGTTCATTTGAATTAAGACTCTGTTTTGCTAGCTGCCTCCTGGATTATAATTGTGGTCTCCATCTAAGTCCAGGATCACCATCTTTTGAAAAATTACCAGGTTTACCTAGAAAGCAAGGAAAGAAAGACTTTTCTCAGAAAAAAGGAAATCCAGACAACCAACACTGCAGAGAACAGAGCCTGAGCCCCTAAGCAACCAGCCAAGAGAACCAGAGGAACCAAATGAAGAGCCTTACTGCAATTTATCATTTGAAAAGCTTTTTAGGAAGAGGGAGGTAGGGAAAATTATTTTGTTCATGTGAAAATATATTTCTCTCCTGTCTCTGACAGTGAGAGTAGTTCTAAGATACTGAATTCACCCTGTAATAGGTGTTTACAGAGGGCCGGTTTCTTAATGCACTAAAGAAAGATGGTACAACCTCCTAGGCCTAAAATGATGTCAGAGAAACGTGTGTTTCTCCATCTCTACATTCTCCAGCACTCCCTAAAGAGTACAGCATGTTCTCTCAGACAGTGTCCTCTCCTAGCTAACTCGTGTAAGTTCTATATCATTTTTGATTCTGTAATCCTGGAACTTGTATCTTTAAAACATCTGAAGATGAATGCCTTCAGAAATCTCTAATTTGCTTCTATTTAAATTCTCAGATTCCACTCTTGTGCAAACTGATAATTAGGCTGAAAGATTGAGAAATGATTCCTCTGGAAGTGACCACCTCCTGATTTTCACCTTAGCTGCCCAAAGACTCTGAGAAATAATCAACCTGTTTATTGTCTCAAGGTCGTCCCCAGCTTTTCTTCTGTGCACATGATAGCACAACATGGTGTTTTTTCTCCAGTGTGACTAATGAGTAATCTTGATCACCCCAGAAGCAGGAGGAGCAAGTATATTGAGGGAGACCTTAAGGCCAGGAAGCTTCATGCTCAAATTAGACATGTGCTGGGAAACTTGGAGGGTACTCCTTCCACTCTCTTCTTGGAGTGCACTACCATGTAAGTTGTCTTGGGTACTCCCACCTGCTTGCTAGAAATTTGAATAGTGTCTCTTTGGAATGGGACTTCTGCCATTTCTCTTCCAGGAAGGGAATATGGTCATAATAGCTAAACTCACTGGTAAATCCTGTGAACAGACTTAATTTGTTCATTCCATAAGTAAAGGACTGTAAATCCTAGTAAAACGTCTCTTCGTTTCCTTTCTGGCTTTTCTTATCCCAAAATCAGTGAGGTACCTCAAGCAAGGAAACAAAAATTCCTGCTTTGGGCAGTGCTACCCAGATACACACTTGCCCTCAAATGAGATGAACATGGGTGGAATCTAGGATTTTGGAAGCAGACAGTACCATTTGTCTAAGAGCGTTTTCAAGCTCAGTGACATGTAGGTCTCAGACATACTTGAGCCCTTGAAATGAGATTGGTTTGCCTTACGGTATATTTCCTGTGCCCACTCTGTTTTGTTTTTTGAGTCTGGGCCTAGCCTCTTTGTACTGTCCTTTGTAGTGCTGACATGTTACATTCTCAAACCTTAAGATTGTACTTACTTATTTTTAGACAGAGGAGAAGGGAGGGAGAAAAAGAGGGAGAAGAACATCAATATGTGGTTGTTTCTCATGCACCCCCTACTGGGGACCTGGCCCACACCCAGGCATGTGCCCTGACTGGGAATGGAACTGGCGACCCTTTGGTTTGCTGGCTCTCAATCCACTGAGCCACACCAGCCAGGGCAACATTCTCAAGCTTTTTAAAGAAGCTTATAAAAATTTGTAGTAATAAGTAAATTGCCTCCTAGCTCCAATCATTAGATACTTTTCTTAAAGCCATAAATTTGAAAAAATTGGTTTAGTTTTCCCATTCCTGCCTCTGTTGTCCCTTCTAAAATCTTAATGTGATAAACTGCAGTAAGCCTTCATCCTCCTACGTCTTTTCCCATCTTCATTGACCCCTCTACCTTCCTTGAAAGGTTGCTCAGATGACTCAGGCACTGTTCTCTGCAGAGTTTTATATCTGGGTTTATTTTTCTGATGTGAGCCTTTCTTTTCACTTGCTCTCCAGGTGAGCCTGGCATTTGCTAGGAACCAGAGTGGACCCAGCAAAGTGGCCAGCAACAGAGAGTCCTGATCCAAATGGAGAAAGGGAACCAGGCGTACCTCAACCTGGAGTGGGAAACTTGATAGGAGGTCAGAAGTATTTCAGCTTTGGATTTTCATTTTCCTTATTTAAGGAACTGAGCACCAGAAGGTAGAGACTGAGAAAGGGAAGAGAGAACATATCAAATCTTCAGTGTGCCCTTCATATGCAGTTGTAGACTTATTTAGCAAGTTCTGGATAGTGAAAAATAATGGAATTACAATTTATAAGCAGTTACAACTGCATGACAGGTTGTTTCCTTGTATGATGCCATTCTTGGAACACTAAGAATATAGTAGAATGTAGTCATTTAAAATGACAAATGGGAAGTAAAGGTAGTTATTTTGGCTCCATTTATTACTTTAGGTACTACTATTTCTTAGGGGTTTTTTTCATTCATCTTACTCATTTTTTTTTGAGTCACATGGTTACTTACTTAAATTACTTTTTCTGACCATTGCTATCATAACTTTATGTGATTGTGCTGTCAACTCTGGACTTTCCTATTTCACAACTCTCTTTACTGTTAATTTGTTTTTTATCCTCACCCAAGAATATGGGGGTTTTTTTGTTGCTATTTTATATATAGAGAGAGAAACATTGATCAGTTGCCTCCTGTACGCACTCTGACCAGGGATCGAACCCCCAACCTAGGTATGTGCCCTGACCGGGAATCAGACCCACAGCCTTTTGGTGTATGGGATGATGCTCCAACAACTGAGCCACCTGGGCAGAGCCTCTTTTATGTTAAATTCTTAATCAGGGACTGGAAGCCAAAACATTAACCAAAAAAGTGACTACAGTACCCAGTGACAGAGAAGTTTATCACACATATAAATACATAGGTATAGAAAATTGCACAGATATAGTTAGGTGAGTTTTTACAAGGTAAGCATTAAAATACTCAGCATCCATTGTGCATCTGTGTTTTAGTGCCTTGTTTAATGTATGAATATGATTTAGTTTTCAGTGGCCTTCTCATTGTTAGTTATTTGTCTGTTTTTGTCCTGGTAGTGACAGAACTGATTTCTGATTTCCATTTTTACTGAGAGAGACCTTGAATCTTTGTGTTCAGAGGTTATCATCATTGTGTACTTCTTAGTAATAAACATGACTGATACATTCTTCCTTGGCTGAGATGTCCTAATTTCTAGTTTTCTTCCATCCATGTTCACAGTATTACTCACTTACTCCTAATTTTTCTAATCATTGTCATTTATTTTGCTTCTCCTTTTCATAGCACCTGGAATTCTCTCACTTTTTGTGGGACCTTTGGTCATCAGACAAATAGCAGTTTGGACTCGGGCAGCAATTAATATTCTGATTTCTTTTCATTGAAAGCTCCTTTTAGTATATCCTTTACCCACTCAGGTTATTGTTACTATTTCTTTTGCATTAGAATCACACTACAGTCTGTTTTCTCTTTGATACAGATTGGTGTGTGTGCTGATCTTATTCTTTACAGATTACTTTGCCTCCAGTTTTCGTTTCTTTGACTTGGTCTCTATAGTAAGTGATGATTCTTTGTTGAACTTTGAGCTTGCCTTCTGGTTGGAAAGTTTGTTTTTATATTCACATCATATGTGTGTTCTACTAATAGATTTTCCTAGAAAGCCAAAGGAGCTATATTTTAAGTGGATTGTGTTTTCTTTTTAGTGTGCACTAAGCAATCTGACATATTATTTGATCTTTCTGGCCCTAGATACCAAAACTACAATTGAAAGATTTTTGTCAGTGTTATAGGTATGCTTAAGCATACCTATATGCATTAATTATAAGCATACCTCTTAAAAGAGGAAGCTATGAAAGAGGAAGCCAGAGAGTCTGGCATTAAGTAAATTACATTAGAAGGCTGTAATCTAGTTCTCTTTGACTGGCTGTGTAACATTACTCAAGTCATTAGATTGTTGCTCTTTTTCTGATACTTTCCTCATTCATCAACTACAAGAGCCAGGCTTCTCTGGGTTGCTGTGGGAAATACCTGAGAGTATGTGAATAATGCTTTGAAAATGTAAAGTACTGTATAAATGTAAAGTTTCAATTCAGACAGATTGAAAAGAGTTTGAGCATTGATTTCGGTAGTGATTTAACTACAGGAGGATATTTGGTAGGTTTAATTTAACCATGGTGCTCCGGTTCTGGTACTCACTGCTGCTGTAATAACAGTGTCTGTTGTGGCTACCAAACCACTTTATCTCAACTTGTGTATGTCACAACTTTAGGTTTCTTTGGAACATCCTCTTTAAACGTCTTCTGCTGTGAATTTGCTGTCATTAATGTGGCTTTGAACTGTGCTAACCAGATTGTCTTCCCATTTCCTCCATCTTCCCTTACCCCTTATGATTGATGTTTTAGTTTTTCATATCCTAACTGCCTTTCAGTGTACCCAGGAGCTAAGAAGAGTCAGCTCCATTTTCTGATGACTTTTTATTGATGTCTCATTCAAGGGGCATACCACTGACTTTTCTTTTCTGCATATGAGCTTCATTAAAAGATAAAAGATAAAATGAGAGAAAAACAAAACTAAGAACTAAACTAAAATAGCACTGTAAGAGTTCATTTTTGGAATTTATAATAGTCATTTCCTAGATTTCTCCATATGAGGTTAAAGAGTCAAGTTACTATAGGGGTGGGTAGGATTATTAATCTACTGGAATTTTCATTGGCCATAATTTTCTTCATATCCTCTGTTTACCAGTTTATCAACATATAAGAATGCTCTTTTTAAAAAGTATTACCCCGTACCTTGGTTTGGAGCCTTCTCATTTATTGGAAGAAGCTTTTATGCTCTGAAGTTGCCATTTCTATTAATTATATGCATGTTAACTTATTTTGTTCTAATTATCATTTAAAATATCTTTTGCCTTTTTCACTCTGCATATATTTTACACATTTTACACTAACATCCTCTCTCCATTTCACTTTTCCCATCCTATAGAAATTACTTAGTTTTATTTTTTATTAGATAATATACATGGTTTGAGGCAAAGTGACAGACAGCTTTACAGTGAAAAGTAGTGTTTTTCCTTCCCATCCTTGTTCTCCATTCACCCTGACCTCTCCATGTAGGTAACAAGTATTTACAGTTTCTTGTGACTCCTTCCAGAGAGTCACAAGAGAGTTGTGCAATAAGTAAATTAATGCATACATTCCTCCTTAACCCTTTGGAGAATATAGTATGATATCCTATTAACATATACTGTTTTGCATTTTTTACAAATTTATATCTTGGGAAATCATTCCCTATCAGTATATGAAACACTCCCTCATTCTTTTTATGGTCTCTTGTCAGCTTTGCCTTCATCTTAAACTTCAGATACTCTGCATAGTTCTCTAGGCTTCTGAGTATTTCTTCTGGGAATTCCTCTTTTAAAAATAATGTTGTATTCACTGGATAGATTATATGTAAATAATCTCTGGATCTTTTTTTCATAAACAGAAAATCTTACTGTTATAATAAGCTATTCTAATAAGATAATGAAATTATTTTTATCTTTATAGTTTGAATCAGCTTGGGTATTGACAAATATTGCTTCAGGAAATTCTCTTCAGACCCGGATTGTGATTCAGGCAGGAGCTGTGCCTATCTTCATAGAGTTGCTCAGCTCAGAGTTTGAAGATGTCCAGGAGCAGGTAAAAATGAAACAAAAAGAAGCAGGTGAAAGAATACAATTTTTCCCTTTATTCTTATATTTAGGGCCTCATTTTTACCACTTGGCCATGACAATCCATAATTCATTAGAGGGAGCTTTCTAGGAATCTAAGCTTACTAAAATAGAAAATTTAATAGTGACTATAGGTAGAATTTCTCCTAGAAACAAAGCCATTTTTCCTTCCAAACCTGAAACTCTTTAAGCCCTTAGATATACTTTTTAGATCAGGTAAGTAGTTGAGTTTTTTATTATAGGAATTTATAATAATGTTTATTGAAGTAGCAAATTTTTTTGTCAGTTTTGTGCACCAAAGACTTAGAAAACATGAATTTTTAATTAATTTTTTATTACTTCAAACTTTATCATTTTTGTAAATATAAGTTACTGCTAAATGAGAATGAGTTTCTTATCATTTATTATAGTTTCTTCTCATTATTGAGGTATGATTGACTAATAAACTGCATATATTTAAATCTAATAAGTTTTGACATATATATACACCCATGAACCATTATGACAATAAAGATAATTAATATGTCCATCACCCCCAGAAGATCACTAAAATTTTCTGCATTTTGATTGTTCCTAAATTTTTGTTTATTATTTGCTTTGGCAAGCAAGCTTAAAATACATTTTTAACCAGTTTAGTAAGCCATATGAGTCACTGCTCTGTACCAAGGGCTGTGTGGAGTGTTACTTAGGGAGACTTGACAGGTAAAGAATATGTATAGGAACTATTACCATTCTTTACTAAGCTTACTACTACAAGTGCTCACATGTCTACTTTGTAATATTATTGATCTTCTTTCTCCAATCTCACAAGTATTTCATGACTCCTTGATGAGTAAACTTAGGGTTATTAATAATGTTGATTAATTACTATGTAACTCTGTAAAGAACTATTGTGATTTGTTTGCATTTTTTGAAAGAATTTGAGAGAAGCTATATAATCTGTCATTAATGAATAATTTTTTTCACAGGCAGTCTGGGCTCTTGGCAACATTGCTGGAGATAGTACCATGTGCAGGGACTATGTCTTAGACTGCAATATTCTTCCCCCTCTTTTACAGTAAGTTTCTAATTTTTTTTTTTTAAGTAATAAAAAATGGGAAGTTCTGCAGAGAGCAGTGTATCTTTGGAACTTATTTTGGTTTTCTACTGAGATTTTTTGTTATAGGTCAGGTATTTCTTCAGGCATCCTGTCTTATTCCAATCTCAAAATTCTACATTATTTGGTTAGAATTAAACTTTATTGTTCTGTAGAAAATGGTTTAGTAACTATATATTCCATCAGAGAGTTAATGTTAATTACGTAGTTTACCATTGTATTATCATATTTGTAGGTTATTCTCGAAGCAAAACCGCTTGACCATGACCCGGAATGCAGTATGGGCTTTGTCTAATCTCTGTAGAGGGAAAAGTCCACCTCCAGAATTTGCAAAGGTAAAGATTATAGTTGTGGGAAATTGGTACGAAAAAAGTTCAGTTAATTAAGTGTGGCAACCAATATTAATATGAAAGGAAAGAAATAATAAAATTCTACTATTATAAATTTTATCAAAAATCATTTGGTTCTAGAGAAATAGGGCTTTTTCTTATTTTTGTTTTAATTTAGAATAAATTTTTGCTACCTGTAAAAAGCTCTGAATTACTTTAAAGCTAGCATTTTCTGTATCTACAATACAGAATTTCCTAGCTTTAGCACTTGTGAAAGTTCCTTTACCTCTTTGGTCCACAGTGAGGGTGTCTTGACAAGGAATCTCTCAGAATTGGTATTTTATTTAACTTTCCTCTCTGAAATTACTCTCCTTGGGCTCTTACCACCTAATCAAAGTAAACTGCAAGGCCACTGATGGCATACTTGAAGATGGGAATGCTACTTGGCCACTTGTCACTCCATCTCTAGAAGTACTGATCACTCCAGAAGTCATCAAGTGTACTCCTTTTTTCTTTCTGGAGTTTCTCACCTTGCTTCTGGCTCTTATTCTGTAGAATTTTATAATCATATCTTCTCTTTACAGGTCTCCCCCTGTCTGAATGTGCTTTCCTGGTTGCTGTTTGTCAGTGACACTGATGTACTAGCTGATGCCTGCTGGGCCCTTTCATACCTATCAGATGGACCTAATGATAAAATTCAAGCAGTCATTGATGCAGGGGTGTGTAGAAGACTTGTGGAGCTGCTGATGTAAGTTTTATTTAAGGAAGTATGTCTGCTGTTTTGCCCCTATATTAATTTTTTAGCTGCTATCCTCAAATAATAATTCATTATATTGATTTATTATGCATTGGGCTTCTGTTTTTTGTGCTTGTTTATATGGATGTCAGGTCTGTTTGTTTATTCTGAGGCTTCTAAAGAGCCTCTCACTCTTATGCTGTCAGCAGTCCTTTAAGAACATTTGAAAAACTGATCTGTGTAATTCCTGCTCTTGCTTAGTGACCAGAGACCAACCACTGGATAGTGGAAGGAATATTGCCACTAAAATTAATCATACCTTATCTTTCTGTCTGATTTAGAGCTCATTCTAGACTGTTGTCATACTTTGAATTTTATTTTGCTATGTCTCTTTTTGATGCCTTTGATTTGTGGAATAGAAGATTTACTGATAACAGAGACTGTATTAATCAAATTTTTAGATAATATTAAAGAAGAAAAAATTAGAATAAAAACATAATGGGGAAATGATACAATTACAAGCTATGTGAGATTTAATTCAAGTAAGTACAAAGTAGATGCAAAGAGTCATTTTCCCAAATGACATGTGGAATGGATTAGATCAGTATAATGAACACAACACAAAACTCTGGGATTATAGCTGGTCGCAGACTGGGTATACATCAGCAGCATAATGCTATTGTGAATTAAAAGTAGTCCAATGCTCCAGGAGTCAGAAGTACAGCACTCAAAATCTGGGAAGTAATCTTTTGTACTCTTTAGTCACTAGATTTCTATGTGACTTAACCATTTCTTTTAATCATCCAATCTTAAAATATATGTGAAGGAACTGTCAGTTTTAAGAAGAGCAATCATATTGAAGAGGAGAGAAAATAGGATTTTTAAGGAAAGTTAAAGTATTGAGTTGGCCAGAAAGTCTGTTTAGTTTTTCCATAAAAGAAAGGACACATTTTTCATTTTCACCAATAACATCATTGATTTGGATATTTTGAGAATGCCAGCCATCTCCCATGTGGTATAACGTTGATTGTTCTCAGTTAATGTCTCAGTTTGATCGCTGCCAGCTTCATCTGGTCTACTCGATTGGAGCACTGTCTAGTGAGCAATCTCCAGCACGAAACTTTGCAAACCACTTTTCACACATTCGATCAGTCACATCACCTTCCCCCTACACTCCCTGCACAGTTCTTTTTTTGAGTTTCAATTGTGTTTTTACCTTTCTTGAGATGTTGCCTGTTTTCTTCCATCTTCAATATTAAAGTGACGACACAAAAATTCACCAATTTTGGTAAGTTTTTTTAAATGCACACTGATACGACAGCTGTCACAAATTGTTTTGAATGAAGTTAAAGACAAACTACTATAGCCATCGTATAAAAAAAACAAATGAACTTTTGGCCAATCTTATATATTAACTTACTTGAAATAAAGACTTAATATTTGTCTTCAAATATATTAAAGATTTTGTGGAGGGGTTTTTGTGGGTTTTGTTGTTTTTCTCGTTTTTTTGTTTGTTTTTTTGTGGGTTTTTTGTTTTGTTTTGTTTTTGGATCAGTAAGTCAGGAGTGGTTTTGTGAGTTCACTATTTGAAGTGTGAAGCCTGGCTTTTATTTTCAGATTATTTCAAGTTGATGTATTTTCTACTCTAAAAATTATGCAATTTATAAATCTTAGAAGTGCTATATAAATTTTAACTGCTGCTCTTTGTTACCTTGACAACAACAGAGATTAAGTAAGGAGGAAATGAAGACCATAATAAAGAATGAGAGAGAAAACTTAGAATCTGGGTGATGGAATACCTGGGAAATATTATTAGGAAAGATTTGTAGGGTCTTTTATTATCCAAAAATACTAAATAAAGAAGAGACAGTTCTTCTAGGGGACAGTTAACATTCCATCATCATGATGGGGTTCCCTTAATAAACACCAAATGTACCTTTCTGCTCTAAAATCCTATTGAGCGTTATTTACTTCGGATTTCAGCTCCAAGGAAAAGAGACTAAGGATAGAATTGTTGGATATAATAACATTTCTTTTGTGGTTGCAGGCATAATGATTACAAAGTGGTTTCTCCTGCATTGCGGGCTGTGGGAAACATCGTCACAGGGGATGATATTCAGACACAGGTATGAATAAGTGGCAACTATTTTTTCCTTCAAAAATAGTACATTGAACCTCATAATTAAGTGTCTATTGTATTATTGAATTTCATATTATTGAAGAGAATTGATACTTTGTTTCATTAATGTTTGTTAAAAATTAGGCAGCTACTTACACTACCATTACTATCTCTGGTTTGACCTGGTACTTGTAGCAATTTTGGGTTCCTCTTAACTTATCCTTTAAGAGGATAAGTTAAATCATAAGGACTTTATTCTTTTGGCCAAGCAGGTTTATTTCCCACTACTCCTACTTTAAATGGTTCTTGGGAGCATCATAAGTCTCCAGTGGCATCCTTTCTCTGTCTCTGTCATCTTTACCTCATCATCTCTGATAGCTTCCTCTTTTTGTACGTGTTCTCTTATAGGAGGAGTATCCTTCCCTTCTAGTTCCTAATGTCACTCCATTCAACTTCTGTATCAAAATATATCACGCACAGTGGATTATCCTAGCCATTTTTCTTCTTGATCTCTCAGGTACATTGGTGTATTCCCGTTTTCTTTAAATTATCTCTCTAGGATTTTGTGGTACTGAAGTATTGGATCTCCTGCCTCATTGACTATTTCTCTTTAGTGAGCTCATATTTTTGTTTCTTCTTTTACATAATCAATCCTTCAGCCATCACCTTTGTGTACATGAATTAAGAATTAGGTTTAGCCTTACCTTAGCTTTTTCTTTTTTCAAGAAAGAGGGAAAGGGGAGAAAAAAAAGAGGGAGAGAAACATCAATCAGCTGCCTTTTGCACACATGCTGACCAGGGACCAAACTTGCAACATAGCCGTGTGTCCTCACTGGGAATCAACCGGTGACATTTCACTTTGTGGGACAATGTCCAGCCAACTACGCCATGCCAATCAGGTCACTTTAGCTTTTTCTTGACCACTACTGACTTTCAGAAGGACATTTAATGTCTTCAGTTTTCTAACCTCTAAGGAAGATTGGATTTGTTCTCTGAGGTGTCTTCAAACTTTAATATTTATTTTAAATTTACTCTGTCCACTAGGAAACTGATTATTTTCCCTAGTATATTTAGACCTCTGCTTATTTATGTTCCCTGTCTCAGAGAATGGCACCGAGTCAAAAACCTGGACATCAGCTTGATTCTCTTCTTCTACTTTCATCGATCTCTATCTAGTATTCTGTCTCTGCTTACCCTTTGTAGTGCTTACATTTCTTGTGTCATTCCCGTTACCAGAAGGATGATTGTAAAATGCAAATTTGATCATGTATAATCTTATTTACCTGGAATTTATTTATAAAAAATTGTCTTTATTCTTAGATGTTTAAACTTTAGTCACCTTCAAAGTACTCTCCATTTGATGCAATACACCTATCAAGACTTTTTTGTCCACTGCTCAAAACAGTTTTTGAGCTCGTTGATTTTGATGCCTTTTAGTATTTTTGTTTCACCTCTTCCCCATCAGCAAAATTTTTCCCTTTGGCAACTTTGTTCATCCAGGGAAACAAAAAAAAAAGTCACTCAGGGCAAGATTAGGTGAATAGGGAGAGTGGGACACAGGGGTCATGCTGTTTTTGGTTAAAAACTGCTGAATGCTGAGCATGGTGTGGTAAGTCATCCATCCTGAAATGGGCAAACATGTGGAAAGAGTCTTCAAAAACTCACTAAAGCCAAACACAGCCTCTTATTATTAACAGTGCCAGTTGGTACACTGATACAGATGGGTTCCTAGAACACTCACCTAGCAGCGGAAGCCTGTACTAGCAGGAGCTCGCCACCCAGAAGTTAATTCCTTTTCTTTTTCTTTTCTTTTTTTTGTACTCCCTCCTCACATAACCTTTTTTTGGCCCTCTGTTGTCCTTAGATGACATCTAAAATCATTTAAAATCTTGTTGCTATATAATGGAATGCTATGCAACTCAGAAGAAAGAAGCTCTTATACACTGATAGGGAAAGCTCTCCAGCTTATATTTTTTAAAAAGAAAAACAGGAGGGGGGTTGTGGAGCAATAGTGGGTGCCCTGGGGCTGGGGGAGACTTGTTAACCAAGCTGTTCGCTCTGGACACAGCTCAGATGCCTGCCCTGGTGCCAGGCATCTGGTGGCCTCCAGGAGTCAAGGAAGCAAATCCTGAAGAAAATAGATGAGTATTTTAAGCAGTTTAAATTGGACCCAAACAGCACCCAGAATAGTATTGCACTGTATTCAGAGATCCCTGATTTGGAGCCAGGAGCTGGATGACAAGAAGATCCAGATTGTTAGGTGGTGGAGCTTGTAGATAATAGGACCAGTCCGGTGGGCAGTCACGTGGATCTCTTTGAGGCACTCCAAGAGATCAGTGATGGCCACTGGCCACAGTGGCAAAGCCGGCCAGGCTAAGTCCAAGAACAAGACAGTCACACAGGCAGAGAAAAGCCCAGTAATGAGGTCTCGTTGACAGCATACCAATAATAATTGAGAATCTGGAGAATGCAGTTAATGATCATAACCATGATGACATCATCTCAGGAATATCTAAGAAGAAAGCAAAGGCCCCAAAAAGAAGAAACGCTCCTAAAGCAAACCTTCCCATCGACTGAACAAGCCCACGTGCTGTCTGTGCAGTCAGGTCTTCTATGGAGAACGCTGTGATAATGACAAGTGCCCTGTCTTCAGGTACCATCCCAGAAGTCTAGAGGAGAGCAAGAAAACATGGACAAAACCCTGCAGAAATCCAAAAAGGAGAGGGCTTATAATAAGCAGTTGGTATACCTTGCTGAACAGTGAGGAGAACTAAGCCAGTGTATTTATTATGTTGCCACCTTTGGTGAGGTACAAGGACTGTATAATGCATATTTTTGAAGAATGTTAGAAAAGGAGCCATTCCTTTTGTGGGGATGGCAGGGATTCTCTTTGCGTTTTGTTTTCATTGGTACACGTGTAACAAAGTGATCTGTTGGTCAACATTTTAGAAAATACAAATACAGGTTTGAATTAAACACAAAAGAACAAGGAGCAGAATAGTGTGTAAAAAGGGGCAGGATGGAAAGGAGAAAAAGACGGTGTACATTATGTTAGCATAAAATTTCTCTGGAGGATACAGAGGAAACTAATAATATTGGTTGCTTCTGTGGAGAATTGGGTGTCTAGAGTACAGGAATGTTAGGGAGGCTTTTAAGTATATTGTCCGTTATACTTTCGGTATTTTTAAACTGTTTCCTTGTATTTGCTATTCAAAAAAATGTTTCTTTGGTCCCATTCCCACACCATACTCTATGCTCTTGCTGTTTTTTTTCTGAACTAGCTATGACCACACTCAGCTCTGAGCTTTCACATGCTTTCTTCCCTCTGTGTGGAACACATCACTAGTCCCCCCACCCCCGCCCCACTCCGCTCTGATCTCAGCTTCATTTGTATTTGCACTCTGCCACTGGCTTGTCATTCTTCAGGTCTTGGTATGACAAAACACTGATTTTGGGGAGAAGCCTTGTTTGCTCTCATACTCTTAATTTAAGTTGGGTGCTCTTTTTGTTTCATCCATCATAGCACCTACCATCCTACACTGTATTAACTGTCTTAATTCTAGATTATAAGCTTCTAGGGGGAACTCTGTCAATCTTGTTCATTTTTATGCCTCTATAATCTAATAGTGACACAATGTATAGAGACTTAAAAAAATATTTATTGAATGAAGTTCTGAATCTATACATCTACTGACTTCTCTCAGGTTTAGTCCCATGTCTCCAGTAGCCTGCTAGATACACATTTGTCTCTCACAGTTTACCTTCTTCCCCCACAAAGCATGTTTCAACTCTTGATTTTTCCCATTGCAATTAATGATACAACTCTATTATCCACACTTGAAATTCTGTGGTCATATTTGATGTCTCCATTATCTCTCTCACACTTTGTATAGTAAATCACAAGGTCTTGTTGATTTCTGTTGTTACCAGATTCATGTCTTATTTTGTCAGGTGAGTTGTTGCTGTACCCACCCACTTTATCTTCTTACTCTCCTAAGCATTTATCCCTTTCAGTTTATTCTCCCTAATAACAGCTTCATCTATCCTAAAATAACCTTATTCATATTATTTATTTTCCTCTTAGAAACAAGCTTCTTTGATGCTTATGAGCTAAAGAATCTTGAAAGACTTTAAGGAACTTGTACTTCAAGATTTTCGTGTCATTCTTCCCCCTGCCCCCGCCCCCCGCCAATAATTTAGAGGATACAGAAAACCCTTCTTTCTTAGCTTCACTGTTCTGGGGTGCGGGGGTGGTTGTTTGTTTGTTTTTTTGGTACTTTGTGGTAGCCTGTCTCATTTTCTCATTTTCAGCCTTTCTATCTGCAGTGTCCTTTGCTTTGCTTTGCTTTTGAAATCGTATCTGTTTTAAATGTTCTCTCCCAACTCTCTATGAAGCCTTTCCTGACTATGTATTTTGCCATGTATGTGCGCACCCTTCTGACCAAATTTTTGAGGGGGAAATAAGGATGCACATTATACGTGGGTAGTACTAATTTCATATCTATATAAATGTTTTAAATTTTTTAATTTATGCTTATGCTTTAAAAGTGTAACTCCAGAAAGCAATACTGACATCTATGTGCAAAATAATACCCTGGAATACAAGAATCAGTTTTGTTTCTAAACATAAATAAACTAAAAAGTTGAATTAAAATGAGAGATTTTTTCCTGAAAGTTTGGGCCAAAAATGTGGGTGCACATTATGCATAGGAGCGCATCATACATGGCAAAATAGGGTACTTCTCCCTAAGTATTATCTTTAACTTTTGATGTGTGTATTTTCCAGACTCCATGTTTTGGCACTTTAAAAATTACTTTGTGACATCTTTTATATCTTACTTATAAAGGTTATATCTTTTTAACTAAAATTTTATTTTTTGAGCTGTTAATAGGCAGAAAAAAGGCTTCCTTTTAATTTGCATTTCTTTCATTGCTTGTGAGATCATTTTTTATTCAGATTTTATTCTTATCAATTTACATTTTAAAGATAACAACTCTCTTATCTGTTGCACTTCCTTCCTATTTTTTTTGTTGTTTTTATGCTTGAAAAGTCCTTCACTATCCCAAATTCAGCTATTTACTGATATTTTTTCTTCTGTCTTATGGTTTGTCTTTCATATTTACTTTTTAAACCAGCTACAAATTTATATTGGTAACTGGGCTAAGTACTGATTTTTTAAAATGTTTTCAATTAATTAACCCCTTGATTCTAATACCATCTAGTGAATAAGATACCAGTCATTGTAGGAAAAAAGATTAACTTCATTATATACTTAATTCTTTATAAATAACTGAATTTGCTTTTGGACCAGAAGCAAATCTATTTAGATTTGCTATTCTGTTATTCAGTAATTGATTCTTGAGCCTGCCATCTATTATTTTAGTGATAACAACTTTATGATTTCAGTTTTGGTGGAGTAGATCCCCTTCATGTGTATTTATCTTACCTCCCTCACCTATGTAAAGTTTTTGATATCTGGGACATATTCTTTTTATATTTATATGTTATAAAACACCTGGTATTCTTCATTAAGTCTGTATTGGTTCATTGACTGCCAAGGATAGGGTTACCAGAGGACTTAAAAATCTGGGACCACTTTTCAATTTCTGGCATCTAGATATATTATCCATCCTAAGGCATTTTAATATGCTTTGGGAATAGGAAGGTAAATAATTAAGTGTGTCTCACTAAGTATGGTCTTAGTAGTTGAGAATGTGTGCAATGAAACTGCTTTGATAATGTTAGAAACTGATTCTATCTAGTAGTGAAATTTTTTTACCTATATAAAGTTACTTGTAAAATTTCAAGGGGAAATTTTCTTTGCTGTTATTTTTCTTAACCTAGAGGTTTTTAGTTAAGCTTTGCTTATTTTTGTTTGAATCAGTACGATAAGTAAAATAATTCAAACTTTTCCTTTTAGGTAATTTTGAATTGCTCAGCTCTGCAGAGTTTATTGCATTTGCTGAGTAGCCCAAAGGAATCTATCAAAAAAGAAGCATGTTGGACAATATCTAATATCACAGCAGGAAATAGGGCCCAGATCCAGGTAATTTTATAGCGCCTGTCTTTAATTTTTATTGATAAGTAAGATTTTTTTTTTTTTTGTCAGCCTTAAAAATATTTTTTTTTCATTATTGCCTCAGATACCACTGGGTTCCAAGGTTGTTGTCTCATTTGGTTAGTCTTCTTTTTTAAAAAATCCTACTTTAAAGAAGTTACAACTTTTGAACTTAGACCTTGGTATTTCCCTTTGCCTTTACTATTTGATGATTTGCCAAGATAGTGCAATAGTGTCTTATATCCTTGCAGTATTTTGTTGGACTTGATACTAAACAGATTAGCTTTATTCTTGCCAAGTAAAATATTTATTTTCTAGTGGACTGGTGTATTGGATTGCTTCACATTTTCCATGAACCTTTGGGGACCCATTTTTCTCTAACTGGTTATCTGACCTGTCCTTTTATCCTTGTATCAGTGGAGGAGTAACCCAAGTGGAAGACTAGCAGTGGGCCAAGTGAGTCCGCATGGGCCATGAGAAAGGCTGGAACAACAGATTGGAAAAGTTTATGAGACTTTGAGCTGAGTGGAATCAGAGGTCATCTAATCTAACATTCTCATTTATAGGTGAAACGGAGGCTCAGAAAAATAAAATTATTTGCTCAAGAGCACCTCTAGTAAATGACAGGACCAAGATGAAATGCCTTTCCGCTAAACTTTGCTTACTTTTCTCATTGGTACAATAGAAAAAGTTCTTGACAAGGAAAACATGGGTTAGTCATCCCCTAACAGTGCTGACAGGGACTGACATTGGTAGCATGCATATGTGGTGATTTCAGCTGCAGTTGATTGCCTACACCACTATCACCAGTGTCTTGTGTAGAACTACTCAGTTTCTTGATGAAGGAAATGATGCTAAGGGGAAGCATAAAGAGAGTAATTTGAAGAAGACTACTTTAGTGTTAGTGTATGAGAGCGATTGAGTAAAATACTCTGTCCAGCTGAAAGCTGTTCTGGTGGTCTGGATGGGAGTTGGTGGCTTAGAACAGGATAGGATGGTGGCAGTGCTAACAGAAAGGAAAAGGTGGGCTTAGGGCATTTTAAATTGAAAATGTGTAAGACATGATGACTGATCGAATTTAGAACACATATATACATACACACAGACAGACAAAGAGGGCCTTTGTAAACTAGAGAGATTTGAAAGGAAACCAAATATAGAGGGCAGATGATGTGTTTGAGGCAATCAGCAGACCTAAAGTAAGCCGTTGGCCGTCCTGGGCTGTGGTCGAGAGAGCTACAACACATGTGTCAGGGTGCATGCTGTAAGAGAAATGAAAAAAGCAGAGGAACAGAGAATTGAACTTCTATAATTTATTGGGGGTGGAACAAGAGAGGACAATAAAAGAAGTTTCAAAGGGAAAACTAGGAGATTATAAGGTCACACACTCCAGGGAGAGTGTTAACTATACCAAGTGTGGCCAAAGGGTTTAGGGACAATGAGGACTTAACTCTTTGTAATTTAGTTTTAACGGGGGAGATTGTCATTACTGAAACCAGCTGAAAAGTTAGTATCATGAACACTTCTATAAATATTTTTGTCAATTACAGTTGACATTCAGTATTTTCTATTAATTTCAAGTGTATAGCATAGTGGGTAGACACTACAAATCTTAAAATTTCCCTTTCCATTTAATTTTTTTCTTAATTTCAGACTGTGATAGATGCCAACATTTTTCCAGCCCTCATTAGTATATTACAAACTGCTGAGTTTCGAACAAGGAAAGAAGCAGCTTGGGCCATCACAAACGCAACTTCTGGAGGATCAGCTGAACAGATCAAGTAAGTACTAGCCAAGTAGCATCTTATAAATTGAAGGAAAAATTATATTTGTCTCCCAATTAAGAATGCTCATTCTAGCCTCTTGGAAGATTGTTTTTGGTTTCATAATTAGACTGAAATATAGATTTAATTCCTTACACCTTTCCTATTCCTTCCTGCTGAAAAAAATTCTGGGATGTGAAAAGTAAGGCATAACTGAGGTTTGGAGCAGTAGAAATAATTATAGGGGTGGTTTCAGCCTACTCTGCAGCTGCTTGGTCAGAAACATCTTGAGTAGTCTGGAAGGTTACTTGTAGAATCTTTAGAGTTCAACTTTAATAGTTAACTCTTGCTATTTTTGGTTTAAACGTCTTCATTGACCAGACTTGGAAGAGAGGTATGTCTTAAAGTGCCAAATACAGTAGAGGTAAGTGTCTCCTGAAGTACTACAGTATTCAGTGAAGAGAGAGAGATCAGTATTAACTTGAGACTTAAATGGCCTCGTGGGTAGCAGATTATAATCTTAATGACTAGAAAAGGCATAAACGTGAATATTTATCATAAAAAAATTAAATCCTACCATTTGTGACAGCATGGATGGACCTAGAGGGTATTATGCTAAGTGAAACAAGTCATATAGGGAAAGAAAAATACTGTATGATTTTATTTATATGTGGAATCGAAAGGACAATATAAATGAACAAACAAAACAGAAACAGACTCATGGATACTGAAACCATACTGATGGTTGCTAGAGGGGAGGGGGATTAGGGGGCTTGGTAAAAAAGACGACGGGTTTGAGAAGTACAGATTGGTAGTTACAAAAAATAGTCAATGGGGATCTAAAGTACAACATAAGGAATATAGTCAGTAATATTGTAGTAATTATGTATGGTGCCAGGTTGGTACTGGAAATATTAGGGGGAACACTTTGTAAGTTACATAATTGTCTAACTACTATGCTGTACACCTGAAACTAATACAAAATAATACTGAATTTAGATTGTAATTGAAAAAAAAATATGGAGAGGAATCAGTTCCTCAGGAATTGTATTGTATAATTAAATGCTAAATTGTATAATTAAATGCTAAATTAGGGGCAGTAAGTATTTCAGATAGAAAGAAACAGTAGTGATGAAGAAAAAAAATGGAACCTAGACTTTTAACTTACTTTAACTTTCTTTATGGGGAATTCAGATGAGGGAAGATGATTTCAAATGAGTGTTAAAGCATCAGCCCCTTTCTCGTATGTAGTATATTGTTGCTTTGTGGGTTAAACATAGGTACTGAAGTAATGCAATTTTTAACTCTCTGTTGAGAATTTAAAAATGGAAAGATAAAGTAATCCTGACATATCAGGAATTGATCAGGTATGAAAAATAAGAGGTGAAATGGTTGAACACATGCAGTAGCTGTTTCCATAAAGTTCATTGTGGACAGGTTACTCATGGAAGACTTTCCACATGATCTTGTATGACATTAGGTCTTTTTCAACTTCCGAGATTCTGGTTCTGGGATATAGCAAGTCATTGAATAATGTTTTGTTGTAGTGTAGAAACTTGTTTATATTAATGAGAGTATGGTAAAATAGGTTTTATTATGGTGGTTTGCAGAACCTATTGACAATGTTAAGTGAGGGTTTAATGTATATACTATGATTGTAAGTATGCCACCATCATATGGCAGTAATGTGTAGTACTATAGAAGTTATTTGAACAGTTGATAGTTTTATGTTTAGATTCAGATTTATAATTATTAATCATCTCTACATTGTGTACCAGATCTGTTTTCTTGATTGAAATGGTTAAACTGAACACATATTTTTTAAGCTTTTGTGAAGTATTTTGATAGGTTTCATCAGAAAGTATTCAAGGATATTTTGCTCTGTTAGAGGAGAGTAGAATGGTTACTACATCTTTTAAAAATCTGGCATAGCTATTTATAATAATTTAGTTAGTTGTCAATATCCTAGCAGTTTTCTTTTAACTAGATGAAGTTCTTTTAAAAGATTATTACAAAGATACAGTCCAGATTATAGAATATAAACTTTGTCTCTTATAAAGATATCTATGTGGCTTCTGCTCATTCTTGTTAGGAAGACAAGATTTAGATGTAAGAATCAGAATAATTTAGAAAATATCCATAATTCTAGGTTAAATATAATCAAATATACACGTACTGTTGTTCTTAAGAATGAGGGATAAAGAATGTTGCCTGGAATTAAAGTGTTTCATGAAAAAGGTGAAACTTACCATTTAGGTAGAGATTTGGCAGTTTTTTAGAGGAGTGAAAATAGCAGGACGAGAAGTATGATGGAATATGCACAGTAAATGTTATTGGAAGAGGCAGATCAGTCTTGCCGTAGGTTAGAAGGTCTGTCTTGGGAGGACTCAGGGATATAAAGAAGATGGTCTTTTGAGGAGAGAAAAGAGAGTAATTAGGATGCCAGTGCTGTAGTTTAGTGTACAGTGATGGCCAAGATTAAGATAGTAACTGTTGCATGGAATATGGATCTGAGTATGGGAAAGCAGGATCTCTAGGACTGAGTGGCAGGCTATAGGTAACAAAGGAAAGGGAGAAGTCAAGATGACTAGGGAAAATGTGGGTGCTGTTGACAAATATTAGGACATACAGGAAGCAAAATCCTTTTTGAAGGTGCTGGTTTTATTCATTTTTAAACATATTTTGTTGATTGTGCTATTAACAGTTGTCCCATTGCCCCCCCCCCCTTATTCCCCTCTGCCTTGCACACCACCTCCCACCTGTATTCTTCCCCTTTTAGTTTATGTCCACGGGTCATACATGTAAGTTCTTTGGCTTCTCCATTTTTCCTATACTATTCTTAACCTCCCCTTGTCTGTTTTCTACCTACCATTTATGCTTCTTATTCCCTGTACCTTTCCCCACTCTCTCCCCCTTCCCCTCCCCTGCTCATAACCTTGCATGTGATCTCCATTTCTGTGATTCTGTTCTGTTTAGTTGTTTGCTTAGTTTTTTTTGTTTTGTTTTGTTTTGTTCAGTTGTTGATAGTTGTGAGTTTGTTGTCATTTTACTGTTCATAGTTTTCATCATCTTTTTCTTAGATAAGTCCCTTTAACATTTCATATAATAAAGGCTGGGTGATGATGAACTCCTTTAACTTGACCTTATCTGGGAATCACTTGACCTGCCCTTTATTCTAAATGATAGCTTCACTGGATAAAGTAATCTAGGTTGTAGGTCCTTGCCTTTCATGGCTTCAAATACTTCTGTCCAGCCCCTTCTTGCCTGCAAGGTTTCTTTTGAGAAATCAGCTGATAGTCTTATGAGAACTCCTTATGAGAACTGTCGCCTTTTCTCTTGCTGCTTTTAAGATTTTCTCCTCCTCTTTAATCTTGGGTAATATAATTATGTGCCTTGGTGTGTGCTTCATTGGGTCCACCTTCTTTGGGACTCTGAGCTTCTTGGATTCCTTGGAAGTCTATTTCCTGTGCCAGATTAGGGGAGTTCTCCTTTATTATGTTTTCAAGTAAATTTTCAATTTCTTGGTTTTCCGCTTCTCCTTCTGGTACCCCTATAATTCGGATGTTGGCATGTTTAAAGATGTCCTGGAGGTTCCCATGCCTCTCCTCATTTTTTTGAATTCTTGTTTCTTCATTCTGTTCTGGTCGAATGTTTCTTTCTACCTTCTGCTCCAAACCGTTGATTTGAGTTCCAGTTTCCTTCCTGTCACTGTTGATTCCCTGTATATTTTTCTTTATTTCACTTTTCATAGCCTTCATTTTTCCTCTATTTAGTGACCATACTCAACCATTTCTGTGAGCATCCTCATTACCAGTGTTTTGAACTGTGCATCTGATTGTTTGGCTATGTTTTCGTCGTTTAGTTAGTTGTTTGTTTGTTTGTTTGTTTGTTTTCTGGAGCTTCGAACTGTTCTTTCAATTGCCCCCCCCCTTTTTTTGGGGGGGGGGTTTCCACTCCTGTTACGTAGTAAGGAGCAGAGCCTTAAGTGTTCACCAGGGCAGGGGCAACCCATGTCACTGCGTTGTGGAGCTGTATGTGGGTGATAGGTCCAAGAGGGAACAGTGGCGCTTGCTCTGCTCTCTGCTGGCTTTCAGTAACTTCCTCCGCTACCCACAAGCAATTTGGGCCCTTCTGGTGCTGATTCCTGGGTGGGTGGGTTTGTGTATGTTCTAGGACCCTGTGGATCTCTCCAAGGAACTCTTCTGTGAGGCTGGGAGTTTCTCCTGCTGCTGCCTCAACCTTCACAGGCTTTTTCACCCAGAGGTTTTGAGACTTTATTTCCCCATGCTTGAACCCTGGGTTGCATGGTCTGTGTCGCTCCTGGGATATTCCTTCCAGTTTATCTGCACACAAATGTGGAACTACCTGCTGCAGCATTACTCATCCTGGTCCTCCAGTTGCTGCCTTGCCACAAGTCCTCTCTGCCCAGCTGCCCATCTCCGCCCCTCCTACCAGTCTGCATCAGTATTTTCTTTAATTCCTTGGTTGTTGGACTTCCATACAGTTTGATTTTCTGTCAGTTCTGGTTGTTTTTGTTTTTAAATTTGTTGTTGTCCTTCTTTTGGTTGTGCAAGGAGGCACAGTGTGTCTACCTATGCCTCCATCTTGGCCAGAAGTCTCTCTTGAGGGTGCTGGTTTTAGACACACTGAGTTTGTTGCTCAACTGAAGAAATCTGATTTATCAATTCTGTCTCTCAAAACTCACTTTCCTCTATTCTAGAGTATGTGGGCTTCTTCCCCATAAATTTCTCCTTCCTAAAGGAAGTCCTAAATGTAAAATTACCAGTTAGCTCAGAACCTTCAGGTTGGAGACTTTAATATAACATGAGAAATGTAATATACTTTTCCAGATAATGTATTCTTGTGAACTGAATTTCTAACCCAGAAAATTTCTTAATGATAGTTTTCTGTCACAAAAGCAGGCTGGCATAGATAACCAGTGCTCACTTTACCAGTTGTTCCAAATACCCACACATAGGAACTACTCCCAGACTTTAACTATATAGAATTGTGCTTGTTCTCCAGTTGTTTTTTCAAGACTTCAAACTTCTGAGGATTTTCTCAAAATAATATTGCTTTCCAACTCCTACACAGCCCAGATGCCTTAATCACCTGCTCTGCTTTTAGGTGTATATTGCTGTCTTTGGAGAAATTTGCAGCAATAGTGAAATACTACTAGCGTTGGTCTTTAAATCTCCAGAGATTTCATAAGAAAATAACACTTGAAATTCCTTCTGCTCTTGTAAGGCTTGCAAAGTAGTGACTCAGTGATGCCACCACTGGCATGAAAGCGGAGCTTTTAATCCTTAATGTCCTTTGAAAGTAAGTTGTCATCTGCTCTAATGCTCATATCTGGTAATCTACATTAACATATTTTAAATGGCTAGAATTCTGAACCTAGAACTCATTAAATGAATAATGTTAGAATACAAAGTACTGATAATATATTTTGCAAATAAAATCTCACATCTTCAGAACTCTAGATTTGCTTATTAGCATATTTTTGGATAGAGTTTTTAATAAGAGCATTTTAGTTTATAATCTTTTAGTTTGTTTTTAAATTATTCATTTAACAAATTATATACAAGTTCTAGAAGTTTCTAGAATTCTTAAAATTCGTTTTTAATCCTCAATCAAGTTTTCAGTACACTAGTTTTCATAATATAACACCCATGTTACAAAACTAAATGAACTTTTTAAAGTCAGTAAATATAAGGATCAGAGGTCCGTCGGGACTTTTATTAGGAAGAGAGGTCACATCAAGAGCAGACCAGGGATCATTTGATGTCTGTTCCTCCTATTGCCTTCAGACCTGACACTGGGATTTTAGGTCATCATAAATTAAAATTTTATTTTCTTCACTCAGAGAATATTAGGATAATGGGGTTATTTGTTTATTTTCTGAAATTTGCAGAATCAAACAGTCAGAAGAGAAAAAGACATATAGGCCAGGATTGAGTTGGGGACAATTTGGAGATTGTGAATAAGTCTGTGAAATACCAATTGGTGTTCTGTAGATTTGCTTATATAGTCCAGTGAAGTTTAGGTGCAGACGTGTAATTCATCTTTAATTCGCTATTCTAAAATTTTACTGGGATTTTGTGACAGATATTAATAAATCTGTGCTTCCTAGACTTTTCCAGTTGAGGAAACTGAGGCACAGAGAGAGCAAATAATTTGCCCAAAGTCATCCATCCAGCTTGTAAGTAGCACAGCTAGAATGTAGTAGTGGTGGTTATCTCTGGGTACTTTTTATTTTTCTGAATGGTTTTTGGTATTTTCCAAATTTGCAATAACTAACGTATTGACAATTATAAAGAGGCTTAGTTTTTGTTTTGTTAAGAAAAAATAATGAGAATTATATAGGTATGTTGAAGGAAGGGTTGACTAAAAGCTGTGGTATTAAAGGAAAGGTAAAATGGTCAGTGGTGGCTTTAAGGCTGGATAACTGACCTGCTCTGTTCATTGAACATGTAGTCTTAATTGTCAGGAACTATTTAAATAAAATTAGGCATAATACTATTAAATTTACTCCTGAGTAAATAATATTGCTAAATAAGTCATAAAACTACTTTTTAAAAAAATAAGACCTTTTTTGCAACCTTTTTGAGATTTATAGAAAAATTGAGACTATAGTACAGAGTTCCTATATACACCCCTCAGCTGCACAATTTCCTTTATTATTAACATCTCACATAGTCTCGTTACATTTTTAAAAACGTAATGAACCAATGTAATGAGCTAATGAACCAATATTGATGCATTATTAACTAAAGTCCATAGTTTATATTAAGGATCATTCTTTGTGTTGTACAATTCTACAGGTTTGATGAATGCAGGATGTCATATTTCCACCATTGGAGTATCATACAGGCTGGTTCCACTGTCCTGACAGTGGCCCTCTGCTTCACCAAGTCACCTGCTCCCTTACCCCTACCTGCAAATATATGACAACCACTATTCTTTCTATTGTCTTCACAAAGAATTTTGCCTTTTCTAGAATGTCATATATTTGGAATAATATAGTATGGAGTCTTGTTAGATTGGCTTCTCTCACTTAGGAATATGCATTTAATGTTACTTTATGTTTTTTTCATGGCTTGATTGCTTATTTGTCTTTATTGCTGAATAATACTCCATTGTCTGAATGGGCTACCATTTATTTATTCATTCACCTATTGAAGAACATCTTGGTTGCTTCCAGACTTTGGCAGTTATGAATAAAGCTGATGTAAATATTGGTGTATAGGTTTTTATGTGGATATAAGTATTATCTCAGTTGAGTAAATACCAAGGAGTATGATTCCTGGATTGTATAAAAATCTTTGTATAAACCTGCCAAGCTGTCTTCCAAAATTGGTTTATCTTAATTTGCATTCTCACCAACAAAAAATCAGTTTCTGTTACTCCACATCCTTGCCAGGATTTGATATTGTTAGTGTTTGGGGTTTTAGCCATTTTAGTAGGTATGTAGTGTCATTGTTGTTTTAATTTACAGTTGTTTAATGACATGTAATATGATGTTGAACATCTGTTCATATGCTTATTTCCATTAGTGTGTCTTTGGTGAGGTGTATGTTCAGATCATTTGCTCTTTTTAACATTGAGTTGATTCCTTTAGAGTTCTGTGTATGAAGTAGAATGGCCTGATGTGCTAGCTTTCACACCAAGTGTGTGATATTTCAGAGGTGTGGTTACCTATAAAAACAAAGATGATATTTATTGTATTTTATGCATTGTTCATATTCAAAAAAGAGTATTCCGGTTTCTTGGAGTCCAATAATTGTGGAAGGAAAAAGAAATGGAGCTGGCTGCTAGGGAACTGGTTTTGTGTCATTTATTTGTAGATTTTTCTTTCTTTTGTATGTTAAGATATCTTGTGTCATTACATGGGTGCCTATTTTTGTCTCCCTAGTCAGGTTGCTGGTGACCCTTCCACCAGCCCGGTAAGTTTTACTGAATTAAAAGCTTTGTTTGAGTAAATTATTCTTTTTCTTAGGTACCTTGTAGAACTGGGTTGTATCAAGCCGCTCTGTGATCTCCTTACAGTCATGGACTCTAAGATTGTACAGGTTGCACTAAATGGCTTGGAAAACATCCTGAGGCTTGGAGAACAAGAAGCCAAAAGAAATGGCACTGGCATTAACCCTTACTGTGCTTTGATTGAAGAAGCTTATGGTAAGATAGAGTATTAATTGGATGTCCTGAAATTATTTTTTTCTTTGTGCTTTTCTGGCCTGTCCACATTTGTCATTAGGGAACACATACAAAAAAATTGTTCTCTTATGAATAATAATATTTAGTGTGCAGACCTGGAAAAGAATATGTATTATAAATATGAAGAGGAACGAGAACTGGCCCCTTCAGATCTTCCCAGTTGCCTGACTGCTTTTCCTTTTGAGTACTCTTGCATTCTTACTAGTCCCTCTGACGCTCAAGAACATCCACATCTACTGTAGATGATTCCTGACTACTTTTCTCTTGTAAGATAGAGAGCTCTTATTATGCATCGCACCCAGCAGTTCCTGTGTTCCTAAAGAGTCCCTGGCTTTAAAGGTTTCTAATGCATAAGCCCTGGCTGGGTAATTCAGTCAGAGTGTCATCCTGATACACCATGGTTGCAGGTTCCCTGATAAGGGTACATACAAGAATCAACCAGTGAATGCATAAATAAGGGGAATAACAAGTTGATGTTTCTCACCCTCCCTCCTCCTCTCTCTCCCTCCTTTTTTCTCTCTCTCAAATCAGTTTTTAAAAAAGATTTCTAACAGTTTCATCTTAAAAAGTTAACTTGGTTTCCTCATTCTTCTAATACCACTCTTAACTGTATTCTTAATCATTGGTACTTCAACCTTTTAAGTTCTTTAAATGATTTTAATGCACAGACGGGGTTAAAAACCACTGGTCTAGGGTTTGTCTGTTCTTGAGATTGGAATTAGGGATCGTGTGGTGGGGGAGTACATTCATTTTTAAATTGATCAGAATGCAGAATTATTTTCCAAAGTGATTTTTGACTTTTTAAAAAAAAATTTTTTAAGATTTTATTTATTTATTTATCTATTTATTTACTTATTTATTTTTAGAGAAAGGGAGGGAGGGGGGAAAAGAGGGAGAGAAACATCAATGTGTGGTTGCCCCTTGCACGCCCTCTACTGGGGACCTGGCCCCCAACCTAGGCATGTGCCCTACTAGGAACACACCAGTGACTCTCCCATTCACAGGCCTGCACTCAGTTCACTGAGCTACACCAGCCAGGGCATAGAAATGTCCTTTATTCAGAGATCTTCCTCCACAGAAATAACTTTGGTTACTTTTTTGATTTATATATTTTTTATATGGGTATATATGAGGGGGGACCCCAAAATATTGGAATTATCTTCTGGAGGGCAGGATCCTTGTAGTACAGGTTTCACCTGCTAGGTGAGTGTTCTAGGAACCCCCCTGTCTGTATCAGTGTAACAGCAGGTGTGAGAGGTTGTGTTCGACTTCAGTGAATTTTGTTTCTAAGAGTCTTTCAACACACTTGCCTGTTTCAAGATGAATGATTTATGAGTGTACCCGCCTACACCACACTGAGTGTTCAGCAGTTTTTAACCAAAAATGGCATAACCCCCATGCCCCACCCTTACATTCACCCAGTCTCACCCCAAGTGACTTTTTTTTTTGTTACCCTGGATGAAAAAACTCCTCAAAGGGAAACATTTTGCTGTTGTGGCAGAGGTGAGACAAATACAGTAGAAGCACTATAAGGCATCAAAATTAATGAGTTCAAAAACTGTTCTGAGCAATGGGAAAAAAGTCTTAATAGATGTTATTACATCAAATGGAGAGTACTTTGAAGCTGACCAAAGTTTAAATATGCAAGAATACACAGTTTTTTATAAATTTCATTTTTTGGGTCCTCCCTTGTATAAAAATATGTATCCTTTTTCCCCTTTGAGCAGTGTTATTATTTATTTCCGGTATGGCTCTATCTATTCTGCTACTCATACCTGCAAGTAAAACAAAGCCTAGTTCAGAAGGGCTTGGATTTAATAAAGGGAACATGTTGGCTAATTGTTCTAGTTGGACTTGTAAGTTTAAGCAATAGAAACTCATTCTGACTAATATAAGGACATTACACATTTGTTGAAATGATACTGGATAGGTCAGAGCCTGGGTAGACAGCACTAGAACCAAGAACTAACTAGGCCATAGGTACAGTCCAGTAGGAACTCTGCAGCTACTGGTCTTAGGCACTGGATGATATGGTGACTGTGGACATTGCTGCTTTTGGGGGCTGGCTCTTGCTTGCATATGGGTTTAAGATGTCAGTTTGTAATGCTAGCACTCAGATATAATTCCAAGCAGTATTGTCTATGCTATTACAAAATACAGACAAGATACAAGTAGAGAAGAACTTCCTTTACCTCAAGGAAGGTAAACAGGATACGGTAAAAGGATACGGCGAAACATTGCTGCATTGGATTTCCTATAGATGAGCAATAGATTTTCTATTATTATTTCTTCTAGGTCTGGATAAAATTGAGTTCTTACAGAGTCATGAAAACCAAGAGATCTACCAGAAGGCCTTTGATCTTATTGAGCATTACTTCGGTACCGAGGATGAGGACAGCAGCATTGCACCCCAGGTTGACCTTAGCCAGCAGCAGTACATCTTCCAGCAGTGTGAGGCTCCTATGGAAGGTTTCCAGCTTTGAAGCAATACACTGGTTTTATGTTCCTGTGTCAGACCAGGCTACCCAGTCAAGTCCTCTTGTGGAGCCCACAGTCCTCATGGAGCTAACTTCTCAAATGTTTTCCATAATACTGTTTGCGCTCATCTGCTTGTCTTGCGCACCTGCTCTCTTACACACATCTGGAAAACCTCTGGCTCTCTGTGGTGGAATACCCTTCTAAGAAAAGGGTAACCAGAATGGCCCACTCTCTTAAGGAAAATCCCTAGGCTTTGGAGATCCGCACTTATATATTATTATAAGAGTCATGAGAATATGCACATGTTAATGTGGCTCTCTTTTGTTGTTGTTGTTGGGGAAAAAGAGGGCTCTTCCTCATTCCCTTTTAAGTGGGAAAAAATACTGACATTAAAAAGATGAGACTATAACTTTATCTCGAATTTCACACAACTACTTGCAAACAAGGGAGATGTTTAGACCTATTGTGTATACATCAGAGTACTTTTCATGAGTTCTTCCACAGTGAACCCTTGGATTACCTGGTGGCTTTTTCTAGCCAGATTTGCATTAATACTTACTGAGATTGGATGGTTTCTTTTCCTCCATTGGCGCCGTTCTTCACAGATGTTAAAGTTAAACCATCTGCTCTCTCACCTTCAGCCTTCAGTGAATGTGCTTTCTAGTTGTCAGGAATGCTGAAGCATTAACACTTGATTCTCAGATGTGATACTGGTTTGAAGATTTCCTTAGAGCAGAAAAGAGAGGGGCACATAGTAATTTGTGTGGCTATTGCTTCTCTTTGGTCTTAACCTGTTTTAGGAATTTGGAAGTGGTTCAATTCTAATACTGGTTGGAGGTTGATTTAGAATCTTTAGTAATCTAAAACATTCTGTAATTCAATAAAAAAGTAAAAAATAAACAAAAGCCCCCACCAGTTTCCCCAAACTTAACCAGTGTGACTAGAGGCTGTGTTTCTGCATTTTACAAATGTTTCAGGCTTTGTGGTCCTGATAAGGTCCTCATTAAATTGGAGTTCACCTTAGGTGCTTTCCCCCTCTGCGACTGGCAGATAACACATACTTTTAAAGGTTACTTAGGAAAATTTTTTAAATTGGATTCAGCATGATTCTGATGTATTCGTGCTGCAGATATGATCCCTTTAATGTAGCATCTTATCTTAAACAAGTAACTATCTTCTCAATATGACCTGTTTAACCCAAATAAGGGCAGTGATATTTTTTCTTACAACTTTATTTTTCCCTAATCATGTCATTTTATCTCCTACTGGTTAGTACTGCCCAGTGAGGTTGCCCTCCCCCTTGTCTTGAAATAAAAACATTTCTCCTTCTGGCTCATTTAATAATGACTGCAATCTGTACCTGCAAATGGCACTTCCAGTAGTGTCTTCAGTGATCTACATTTGTGCTTGGACTGGAACAAAAAAATAAGTGTAATTGCCAAGAGAACTGCAGCTGAACATACAACTTCTTGGTGCTAGTTGGTCATCTTGACTCAATATTGGGACACACTATCGGAAAAGATTTATATTTGTTGATGTGCTATTCAAAATGAATTCTGAAGGAAGAGTTGCTCACTTCTGTTATAGAGAATACCCTTTTAATCCTCTTTAATCTTGTCCTCTTCTAGAATTCATTATAACCCCAAAGTTTAGCTCTTTGGGAGTTTCCCTGACAAGCTATTCTACATCTCTGGTAAATCCCACTGAATGTTAGGGATATTCAGAGCTTTCATACCTCAACATGTTGTCAATTAAGAAGTTGACTTATGTGACCTAATTTAAACTTTTTAAAAATCCACTTCATTTAAAGTAAAAAGATAAAGGACATTTCAGCCAAGCCTGTGATGCAGTCTTCACATCTAACCTGTAGTTGTGTCTGCTCTGGATGGATACCGTCTGTCTGTCATTGGTGGAGCAGCCACTGCAAACTAGTCAACTCTCATGCATAACTGTTACTTTTTCTAGTGCTGCTTTGTGCTGAAAGAACATTTTAGTTTACTGCACTTGACCTGTAAAAGACTTTGATTCTTTGTAATTTTAGGGACAAGTTAGGTGGTTAATTTAAAGAAAAACTTTCAATGTTGCCTTTACATCACATTAAAATATAACTTCTTTCAGAAGGGTAATAGAAGCACTGATTCATAGTAAAAATCTTGTTTTTAGCTTTGACTTTTTTTGTGGCTGAGTTTTTTAAAATTGTAAATTACTGGTAACATGTCATTTCTCTAGAATGTTTTAAATTATGTACCTTCTTTTGGATAATTTAAAATTTTTTCAGTTCATGTTGATAAACCAATTTGAATGGAAAAAATATAAAGCACACAGTTGTTTCTCCACATTAGAATAGCATATGTTGGAAATTTTTGCTAGCAATTGCAGGTGTCTTAAATGAATGAATTAAAACAAAGTCCACTCAACTAATACGGTCTATTTTCTGTTTAAAACAGGAATTTATCTTGCTCCTGTCTTAGAAGTTCCTGAGTGATGAGCTAAAATTCTTTTAGAATAAAATGGTGTTTTTTAAATATAAAAATTGAAATTGACTAAATGTTAAATCCCAGCATAACAGTTGGAGCTGAGAAAGTAACCTTTTTTGGTAATAGAAATGATGTTTCAGGAGGTAACTGTAAGTCCTGTTTTTAGTTCTCTGCCTGGCAGATTCTGTTAATTTCAGTTTATTGATTATACCCTATCACTAAGATGTTACTCTTTACAAAAGCATGTTAATTTCAACACAGGAAAAACTTCTACAGTTTTATATATTGATGAGGGGAAAGTGACTTGATAGTTACTCCTTTTTATTAATGAGAACTTTGGTGGGGAAAAAAAGCATTGAAAGGATTTGGGAGTAATGGCACCTTATAGCTGAAGGAACAGTAGGTAAATAAGATTAGACTGGGAAATACTGGGAAAGGTAAAAATGATAGATATGAAGAATGGTGAGATTTAGGAGACAGTTTTCCATGGAACACATTAATTCATGTTCTTGTCACTAAGTAATTAGGACCCTTTAAAACTACCTTTGTCAGAGGTACTGCTTTTGAAAACTATAGTGCCCTGGGTTTGTTTCTCCTACCTGCCAGATGAAACTGAACGGGCTCTGGGTTGTTTTCATCGTTATTGTTACAGATACAAACATTGATGATTATCCAATAATAAATCTGAGTTATTCCAGATTGTTGCTGGTTTTGCCTTAAAAAATAAGTAGTATATTTTATAAATGGAACTTTGTCATCTAAATCCTCTGTTGTATCAATACATGGCGACTCACTGGCAACTTAGAAATCTACTTCCCTAGTGCTAAATATAGTTATTTAATTCCACAACTTGGGGGTGCATTATGAAAGGGTTTAACTTGGGTTGAAGGATTTTTCTTTCTTGCTGATTAGTTTTGTGAACATTTTTATATCAATAGGTAGGTCATAGTTGTTTTAGAGCTTGGGTCTTTTCATACAGGGTGAGGCAAAAGTAGGTTTACAGTTGTCAGTAAACAAAATAGTTTATTATTGTGTATTGTATGATTTTCCTTATGAACTGTAAACCTACTTTTGCCCCACCTTGTATATGTATTAGAAAATTGTGGTGTCTAAGATGATATTCAGTGAAGAAAAGGAATCCACTTCTAGACACGGGCATTGTTTGTTTTTCCTATTTATAAGCTACATGCTACCTCCTACATTCCAGAATTTGCTCATTTGCAGAGATAGATGTACCTGCACATGGCAGCCTCAAATCTGAATTGTTTTGCCATCTGAAATTAATAAAGCCATTTTATTCTATTGTGAAGTAAGCAGAGTAAGTATCTACCAGGTAGGAAATATTTTGGGCTACCTTTTCCTATCGAAAGTGATGCATAATGTATATCTATAATGTGCAATAAAGAGAAACAAAAATACTAATTTTAAAAACATCAAATTATTACTGGACATAAACATATCTGGGAGTTTGGGGGAAGAAGAAAGTATCAAGTGTAGGTGATGTTCCATCCTGTTTTCAACTAAGGGGAGACAAGTTTCAATGTGTTCTCTTAAAGGTCAAATAAAGATAACTCATCTTTATTTGAGCCTCTGTTGTGTTCCAAGTGTTTGGCAAAGGGCTTTCACTTGTTTTCACTTATTCTAACTGCTCTTTGAGGTGGCTAATTGTCACTTTGTTATAGATGACAAAATCAAGACTTGGGAAAACTTACTTTGCCTGAGTTCACAACCATTAGATACTGTCTGTCCAAAGATGGGGAGGAGTCCTGCAAGTTTTATGTCAAGAGAAAGCCACAGTTAGGGTGGTGGTGATCTGTGCCAGGAACTCCTGGAACTAGTCACAGCAGCCACAACGAGGCCAGTTTTTTGTTGTGTTGGACCATTCTGAGTCTTCCACATCAGCAGCACCTTTAAAGTGGCTAAATCACGTATAAGTTGCTTTCAGGCTACATATTCTGGTATGTAGACCCTCTCAGCCCAAACATCTTTCCCCTTCTGTGGTGCTAAAATTGTATATGATCCAACAAATAACAGGCATTTTTAAAAATATGCAAACAATTGATTTTGAATTTAGTAGAATAATGGCTACACTCAAAAGCATGTTTCCATTCAGTTAAGTATGGAAGGTATTGACACTGAATGAAAGGCTTTGGAATGAATTTTGCCTTAGAAAGCAGTGCCATCCACATGTGTGAATTTAACACAATTTCCTAAAGCAGTATTGTCCCAAGGAGTGTCAAGATCACCTCTTAATGTATGTTGTTATGTTCTGCTTACCTCATCATTTTGACCACTATGTCCGTTTTCAAAGTGTTCTCACACTTTGGTTTGGAATGGCTCTAATTCTTTGTACCCAACTGTGGTATGTCAGGCCATGGGTGAGTGCCTTGGACCTAGTAGACCCTCAATAAATACTAAATGACTGAAGGAACATGCATCTATGTGATATTAGTAAAAGGTATGTTGAAGAAGTTCAAAGGAATCCCTTTATTCTGTTTGAAATCAGAGTTAACTCTTAAAGCTATTGTCTTAAAATGTGTTTTATATGTAGTAACCTTTCAAGAGACATAATTTGACCTGAAGTTTACAAAACCAAACATTGTCATAGAAGTTTATTAACATTAAAAGAAGCAAAACACCTATCTCTTTTGAGAAAAGTGTATTTTACAGGATAGCTAAGACATATGTGTCTTATACTATAAGTAGCTCACCAGTCTCTTCCAGCATATTCTAAAATTAAAAACCTCTTGGCCAGTTATATTCAATTGACGTGGAAGTTGATGGTTGCCTTAGGCTATTAAGGATTCTTTATTTTTACATATATGTATTACTGCATGAAAACATTTTCTTTATCCATTCCTGCAATTTAAGTGATAGCTCAGTAGAAGCAGAAAGACAGTGTATTCATTCCATGATTGCTTCACCACCATTTTTGAGAGATTGCACTGACCAGGTTTTTTTTTTTTTTTTTCTGAAAACAAAATTTTAAAACATAGCCTGAGTTCCTGCAGACTACACTCTACAAAATTACTGAGTTTACAAGTTTACTGTAGCCAGTTTAGATGATTATTGCCCCTAATTTGTTTGGCATTTTGAAAAATTCTGTTTTAGAAAAAAAATAAATGGTCGTTTCTGTGATTTTTTAGTGTTTTTGCAAAGAATAAGATTACTCATTAAATTCCTTTTTCTGTACCTAGAGTACTTAATCTGAGTAAGCCAGTGGAGTCCAGCGGGTGTCCATAATACGGATCACTTCCTTACCTAAACCACTTGGGCCCAGCGTTACTTAGAGCGATGGGGAAAGAGAAAATAGAAACCTGGAAGACCACAGTAGTGGGGACAGAACAGTACCAGGTTTGAGAGAGAGCTCAGCAGGCTGGGGTGTAAAATACTATCTAAAGAGTGTAGAACCTTCCAAGATTAAGTTGTAATTATAAGGGGAGTCTTGAGAAGTCAATAGTGGCTGTACTGGGGTGCTGGGGGCAGTCTTAATTTTTAGGTCAATTAATGCCTTTTAATTATATTAGTGTCTTTCACTTTAACAAAGCCTGAGTTTAGTTATTTCGCCACCCCATATTTAGTCTAGCTTTATTTTGATATGTTTACATTGCTTGTGGTCTTAGCATTGGGGTATGTACACAGTTGTATTAAATTTGATTTTGGAGGACTGGGTTTGGTAATCAGAGTTACCATGAAACAAGTCAAGAAGGCCCTTAATGTAATTATCACTCCCAGGCCATGGTTAGGTCTGACAAACATATTAAACAGATCTTTTTAATTAACAACAACCAAAAAAATGGCCCACTTGTGAAAACACTTCTATTTAGAATATTCACAAATTTTACTAAGGAGCTAGGAGAATAAACCTTTCAACCACAGATTACACTTTCAGTTTTAAAGCTTTTACAGGACATGTAAAAGTTGATTTCCACAGACAGGGAAATCCAAATCACCTGTTTGGTTGTGATTAACAGCAGCAAAAATAGAAATTGTTTAAAACAGGGCTGTGTAATAAACTTTGCTTCAGAGCCCCAAATGCAAATATATAAATATGGTTCCTGTTCCTTTTACCTGTATCAGTATTCCTTGTTATTACACACTCCATAGTTACTGATGCTCCCTGCCACCAAGGAAATAGAAATTCTCAGTCCTAATTCACAAGGACTACAATATTAGGACTATATACTAGTATTAGAACATGGCTAATGAATAATGGCTTAATTATAGTCATGTCTTTAGTTTTCTTTGCATGAATTCCTGATGTTATTTCTGAAGAAAAAGTTCCAGATTTGAAATGTTAATGAGTTATTTATGAAAAAGGAAAACTATGAACATGAAAATGATAACTCACAACTATCAACAAATGAATCTGAGAAAACCAAAACAAATTAAGCAGTCTGGCCAAGATGGAGGCACATAGGTAGATACATATTGCCTCCTCGCACAACCGAAAGAAGGACAACAAATTTAAAAACAAAGCAACCAGAACTGCTAGAATAAAACTATGGAAGTCTGACAACCAAGGAGTTAGAGAAAAAACATTCATACAGATCAGTAAGGGGGTGGAGACGGGTAGCCTGGGAGGAGAGGACTCGTGGTAGCACAGCGGCTGAAAGAACAGGAGGTCCGACATTTGTGGGTGCATAAACTGGGAAGAACGGGAGTGAGACAGACCATGCAACCCAGGATTCCAGGGCCAGGAAGTAAAGCCTCAAAACCTCTGAAAAAGAAAAAAAAAACCTGTGGAGGTTGTGGCAGCTGGGGAAATTCTCAGTCACAGGAGAGTTCCTTGGAGAGACCCATAGGGTCCTAGAATGTACACAAAACCACCCACCCAGGAATCAACACCAGAAGGACCCAATTTGCTTGTGGGTAGTGAGGGAAATGACTGAAAGCCAGCAGAGAGCAGAGCAGGTGCCACTGTTCCCTCTCTGACCCGTCCCCCACATACAGCACCACAACAAAATGACATGGGTTGCCCAACCCTGGCAAATACCTAAGGCTCTGCCCCTTATAACAGGTGTGCGGAGAAAAAGAAATACGGTCCAAATGAAAG